TAAAGAATATATTCTCTTTTGGGGATATAGTGTGGGGTGATGCATGCAGTGTATGCTTGGGACTCACTCAATCAGCCCTCAGCTTGAATGGCAGCTCTGCAGGTTACTGTCAGTGTCTGTGCATTGAACTACTCACCAATATCCTCCCAACTTCAGACTCCTCTGCTTTAAGACGTTGGTGATACCTATTTCAACAGGAATGTTTTAAGGATTAGATGAGATCTTCCCAGTGCTTAATAAATGGCAGCTCTTGTTATTGCAAGTTTGAAGAACTATAACCTCAAACTGTCCACCACCCTAGTATTTTTTTCATATGAAACTTGGTGATTTGGAGGATAGTTTGATTTTCAAAGTTTTATCTTTGGACTAAGCACAACATGCATCAGAAACATGGACATATTGTCTGGACTTCCTAGACACTTGCTGACTTTTTGAGCATTCTGAGTTTTCCCATTATGCATGTTGGCTGTTGAGAGCCTGTAAGAGATGGTTTAAGGAAGCCCATACTTCACACACTCTGGTGATCAAAAGAAGCTGTCCAGTGCATGATGTTCCCCTTTATGAGGTACACCCTCTGGAAATTTTATTTTTGGACCTGACAGCTAGGAAACTTTTATTTCCACTACAGAATAATTGTGTTTTCATGCTTAATGAGAATCCACAAAGGACAGAGGAACTAAATCTTAAATGGTAAAATAATTTGGGAAATTGTCACTACAGGGCAAATTGTAGGTTAGCCCTGAGTATCTATTAATCTGTTACTAGGTGTAGTTCCATTAAAGCCCTCAGAGGAGGTAAGCTGTAGGCTCCTTCCTTCCTTCCTTCCTTCCTTCCGTCCTTCCTTACTTCCTTCCTCCCTTCCTCCCTCCCTCCCGAAGGCCAAATTAGTGGCAACTAGCAGTACTTTGTTTTTTTTAGGGCAGTGGGAAATGTTGCCTTTTCAAATGGGCATTTAAAGTTTAGAATAGCGTAGTATTAGACACATGGCTCCTACAAGTTTACATACTCTGAATACTAGAGTTAGGATGTAAGACAGTAATTTCCAGATAGTTGTCAGGTGCAGAAACAATAGCCTGTGGCCAGAAAACACTTGCTAGCATTCAGTAGGGGGACTCTAGGCCAGGGCTCTGGTGTGAGCTCAGTTGGTCCAGTGAGCAGTACGCTGCTTTGTGCTGCTTGAACAAATGACTAACAGCTAAGCTTCATTTTTTCTTAGATAGTTTCTCTAAGGTCTCTATTTAGGCTCTTTTCCCCTCCCCATCTGAACCTGCCATGTGCTTGAAAACAAAATAGAAAATTAAATTTCTTCTATAACTGATATTTTTTCAGATGTTTTCTTCCTCATTGTTTCCTATACATTTCCAAAAACCTGTGGGCTTTTTTTTTTTCTGCACAGATATAACTTAGTCACATAATTTTTTTTTCTACTTAAGTTTCATTATAGAAACTGTTAGGCAGATACTCTGCTCCTTTATCAGCATATTGCTATAGCACATACCTCTGAAAGCCTCTCTCCTGCGTCTTCCCATACTATCCCTGAGCTTCAGATGTTTCTGGATCAAGGGACTGGGTAGATTGTGGTATCATCTTTTCTTATTTGATTTTTCCCTTGCACAGTTTGTCATCAGGCTATTTCTGCCCAGGTTTGTACGCCTGCCTGCTCTCCCAAATTAGAATCCAGCTTTGAGCACAAGTTAATTTAGTGGCTCCTGAAGCCAAATCTATTCAGTTAACAGCCCTGTTAGCTCACAGAATTGCCAGGTTTTTGAACAGGACAGGCTCCTCGAGTTCACCTACAGTCCATTGCCCTGCCTTCTTTCATTGCTTCAGACACTGCCTGTGGCCCCCTCCACCCCATTTCCATGGTGCTGGGGCTTCATCCTTTCCTGTTTCATAGTAATGAAGAGTCCCTTTTATAAACCTGCCAAATGTAACACAAGTTTTGGAATACTGACATCATGGAGATTTAAAAAAAAAAAAAAAAACACAGCGGGCTAGTGATACTAGCAAATTCAGGCAGAAGAGCTCTTGTACTCTCAGGTTTGGTATTTCAGGTCTGTGTGCTCTTAGTTAAATTCATCATTTAGGCACAACTATGATGACGTGACAGTATAAAAAGGTATCCAGTTGGGGCTGGGGTTGTAGCTCAGCGGTAGAGCACTCGCCTAGCACGTGCAAGGCCCTGGGTTCGATCCTTAGTTCCACATACAGTAAATAAATAAAATAAAGGTATTGTGTCCAACTACAACCAAAAAATAAATATTAAAAAAAAAGGTCTCCAGTTACGTGGCAGGATTGAAATAGGCTCTCGTTTTAAGGGTTTCTCTTATCTGTCACGAGAGAGAAACCATATGGCATTGTAAATGGGGAACGTTTACTATAACGAATAGTTACTAGTAGCAGGGATTAGAATGAAGAGGGATTGAAGGTCAGGAGAAAAAAAAAGTCTTTTGAGAGTATAGAACAGCGGATTGAAGGGCTAAGATGGAGGACCCGGTAAAAGCCCACAGGACTGAGGCCCAGGCTCACCGGAGAGGCCAAAATCATGGTTCAGGGCATGGCAGAGAAGTTGCTGTGATGCTGTGTGCATGGAAGTTTGTCATCTGCTGTGAAAGCAGTCATGGGAAAGGCCTCTCACCAGAGGTACTATGCTGGCAGCACCCAGCCTACAGCAGAACTCGCCTCACACTGTCTCTCTGGCGCCCTCTACCAGAAAAGCTGGATACCTGACCAGCTGGCAAAGGAAAAGTAAAGGCCACAGATCCATTTTCACAGAGCAGGCAAAATTCCTGACCTCCAGACTCCTCAGCAGTTGGAATTGGACACTTCTGGGTATGGTTTTATGCTTTTCACAGGTTTCAGAGTACATATATTTTTTAAATTTTCTAGCAAACAATGAAATTCTGATTATGTCAGTAACTACTCTGTAGCTTGCGCACCAGGCCATGCCAGCAAGTTCTACTGTCTCTGAAACTGGTTGGAGATTTTTTTTTCCTATTTCTTTAAGTATGTTCAGCAACAACAACAAAAATATTTGTGTGTGTGTGTTTGTGTAAAATTGACTATGAAAATGGAATGTCATTAAAATTATACTGCTATTTTAAAATTTTGAGGCTATTTTAAACTCAGATAAAGGTATTCAAAAAATAAAAGGGTATCTGTAATTTCTCTAATTGTAATGGACATGCTAACACAATAATACTTACAGAACTTTTATAGTGGTAGAAATGCTTACTGAACGTAATCACCATTAAGATCAGTCATAATTAAAAGTGCTGCTTCTGTTCTGTACTCAGTTTTATTGAGCAAGCCCAGGTACTTTTCAGGATTTTTTGGTTACAAGCAATGAAAAGTAACTATAATTTAAGGGAGGAAAAGAACTTTGGACCCATATGAGGTAGTTGACAAAGTTGAAGGAAAAGCTGACAAGCCAGGACAAAGACCAGCCACCTGGAAAGGAGGACAAGCCTTGTATAGGGACAGTAAGTGAGGTGAATCTGCCTCAGCTGTCTGCTGAATGGTGCTCCTTCCATTCCAAGGAGTATCATGATCGGCCCATGCCACTTTCGTGCTCACGCCCTGCTGAGGAACACAGGGCGTTGTGTACCAAGCTGCAGAAACTACTTCTTCCTGGACTCAGGCCACATCTCATAGAGACTCAGCTCTTTTCCCCCTTTTTTTTTTTTGGCCTTTTTTCCTTGGTGTGGTGCCCCATTTTCAAGATTTTTGCAATTGAGAGGCAACTTCCACAGCTTCCAATCTCTGGTTCATATCCAGGACCCTCCCTGATTCTAAGTACTGTGGCCCAGGGAATGCACTGTTCTTTGATTAGCCAAACATGGTAGGTTCCTGGAGCCATTGTCCCTAAAAGTCCCTGGATTCAGGTGTGGGAGAAAGAGTCATTCTCTATGGGGAATCAGGGTTCCCAGTTGGGAAAAAGATGCCATGTGGCAAAGTGAAACATACAGGTGACTAACCTTATTTTCCAGAAAAAGCCTACCAATATGAGAAATGACATTTGTTCTGTGATTAAAAAGCATGTGGGAGAAGAAAATAGGAGAATACTGGTGAAACGTGTCAGTGGCCAGGCAACAAGCCCCAGAGGTGTTGGTTTCTGAGGCAAGAAGCAGGCAGTGCTGTTTCTTGAGAAGTCAGGTAAATTCAGGATACAGGAGCTCCGTAGTGAGAGTTGCTAGGGGGTCCTGTATTGTTTTGTTTCAGCCATAATGGTAAATCTTAACTAAATCCTGGGTCTGCAGTCTGTATTAGCGCTAACATGGAAATAATTCAGGATTCCTTTGAAAGCTTGAGGCCAGCTGGTTTTGTTATGCCTCTCAGATCTCTAGAATTCTTACTCACCCTCCAAAGTAAAAGTTGAGACCACAGCAGACCTTACCTCCTGTGGGCAACGGGTCCAGGGCTTCAGTATGTCCCAGGCCTTCACTGTGCTGCTTGGGCCTGGCCCAGGCACATAGCCAGGGGTTAGTCTGAGACTTGGGACAGTGTACGCAGATTTGGTATTTTAGGTCTCACATTCTTTGGGGTCAGCAGCACACACGCAGAACCAAGTAGAGTCCACCCAGACAGTGACAGCCCATACCCAGAATTACGGAATTTTCCTTTTCTAGGTGATTCCTCCCTGGGACCCCTTATACCATCTAGCTCCCAGGAGCTCCTTTTTCTAGTCTTCTGTGAGAAAGGTCTCCATTTTAGCAGCCTGTGCCACCCCTGCCACAGCATGGCTTTGTGACTGCAGCTTACACCCTGGTCAAAGCCTCAAGAGAAGAGGGGAAATGAGAAATTCATCGCCCTACTGGTTGGCTTCCTACATTTCAACTCCTCTCCCTAAGCCACTTGCTTGTGTTTACTTTCCTTTATTTGTGTTTTTGTATTGTATTATTCTTTGTCCAGTTGTTTGTTGTGAATCAGCAGAAAAAAACTAGAGTGGGCTTCCCCCTTCTTTGCAGGCCCAGAAATCCTACATCACTGTCTGTATTAGTTTTCTGTGCTGCATAGTAAATCACCATGAACTTGGTGACTTAGAGTAACACATTCTTCTTACTTCAGTTTCCATGGGTCAGGAGGCTGGATGCAGCTAGGGCCTCTTAAGGCCTCAGTCACAATGGGAGCTAAGGATGGGTTGCTTGTTGTCCATGCTTTCTCAAGCCACTGGCAGTATTAGTTCCTTGTTTCGGGATACATAATTGTTTCATTTCTTCACAGCCAGCAATCAAGAGGGAGAATCTAAAACCAGTCTGCTAGAAGAGTCTTCTATCACATAGCAAGGGAATGGAATGGCTTACTCCTCTGCCCTCTGCTGGTTAGAAGCAAGTCACGGTCCCTTCCACACCTAAGGGGAAAGAGTTACATGGTAAACCTCAGAAGATCTGAGAATTCTGTCGGCCACATCACCCAAGGATCCTCCTCTGGTCCTGTACATCAGAGCTACTTGGTGTGTGTTTCTCTTCTTCACCCCTAGTCCTGATATTATGCTAGATGACCAAGTGGTAGTGATGGTAGGGTTATTTTTGTTTGTTTTGTTTTGTTTTGTTTTGCAGTACTGGGGATGAACCTAGAGTACTCTATCACTGAGCTATGTCCCCAGCCCTTTTTATTTTAAGCTAAGTTGCCAAGGCTGGCTTTGAGCTTGCAATCCTCCTGCCTCAGCCTCCTGAGTAGCTGTGATTCCAGGTGTGTGCCACTGCACCCGGCTTAGCTACACCTTTTCACCACCCCCATATGCTCATAATGGAACAGTACAGCAGAACCCCTTCTTGTGACTCTAAATCCCTCTCTGTTTCTCATTACTGTTTCTTTTCATAGTATGTGGAATATTAAATATAACTCAAGCTTTACTGTCTCTTTCCTACTAGATTATATGTCCCAGAGATCTAAGATTACCTTGTCCTCTTATGCTACCTACAGGGTGCAGCAAATATTTCCCATACAAAGCAGGCATTCAGACATGTTGAATAAAATAAAGAACCTTACATATTGCTGTGACAACTGATCAGGGTACCACTTCCTTCCTCTTCTCTCTTTAATTTTGTCTGCTAACATTTTACCAGCCCTTCTTAACTTAAACACCACAAGGACTTGTTATTGAATTAGCCAGACTTTTAAAGTAAAAGTCACACATGCGTGCACACGCGTGCATGCACACACACACACACACACACAGCTTCACACAGCTTCACACAGAATGAACTAGGGAATATTTTGATGAGATGTTCGGAGTGTAACCAGTGTAACTTCAGGGTGTAAGACGTGGTGTATCTTATAGATGGAAACTAAAGATAAGAAACATTTTCAGTTTTGGTTAACTAAACCTCAAGGGCAAAAACAGGTCCCCTTGCTCTTTTACTGAATCTTATTCTTTAACAAATATCCATAGCAGTCAACAGAAAGACTGTAAATTGGAATATTCTCCATTCTTAGTAGTTTTATAGAGGGTGGGGACTGGATTCCCAGTCTGCCTACATAATTTCATCTTTCAAATCATTGTTTCCTTGGGAAAATGTGAGTTTCATGAGGAGCACTGAGTGCATGCTGGTGGGGCCCTGTGGAGAAGCTTTTGTCCCCCACCCTTTCCAGAGCTGCCTGAGACTGTGAGAGCTGCTTTGTTCTCCACCTGTGCCTTCTAATCCCGAGACTGCAGAACTGTTTGAGAATGAAAGATAGTGTGTGTGTGTGTGTGTGTGTGTATATAAACTTGGATGATTATCAAAATAAAAATTTTCTTTAGTTAAAAAAAAACAGCCAGAGGGGCTCACCACAGGATACCTTGTTGTATAAACGGTAGGTACTTTGTATCGCCCTGGCCCTGAGGTTTAGGTGTGCAATCAGATTTTCTCCTCGCCTAGTTCCCACTACTACTGAAAATAAGCCATGCTGCCAGTCTAAGCTATGCTGTTTTCTTCTTCAGAATCTGGGGAGGGGAGGGGGAGTTCTTTGTAGGGGCAATAAACTGGAAGTGGAGTGGATGCATATGAATAGAGGAATTTATGATATAAGTATTTTATGACAACATTCATACCATGGTATATTATGGAGCCATTAGAAATAATAGATTGGATCTGTCAGTTGCAGGGTGGGAGGGAGATTCCCTCACCCAAATATATTGAATGAGAAAAGCAAGATGCAAAAAAGCTTATATAGCATTATCCCAGTTTTGCAAAACAATAATCAAATAACACCCCTTGTAAAAATGTATATGTATTTTCATATCATTACATAAGCTTGGACAGAAACAGGTGTATCTGAACTGATTGGTTAACACAGGTTATCTGGTGGTCATGTAACAGTGGACAGTTGATGTGGATGTGGAGAGACATGAGAATTGGGTAAAGGGATACCAAGAAAATCAAACAGAAAAGCAAATATTTTCCTGAGGGGGGAAAAAAATGCCAGGCACAGTGGCACATACCTGTAATCCTAGTGGCTCAGGAGACTGAGACAGGAGGATCGTGAGTTTTAAAGCTACCCTCAGCAAAAGTGAGATAGATGCTAAGCAACTCAATGAGACCCTGTCTCTAAATAAATATCAAATACGGCTGGAGATTGGGCTCAGTGGTCAAGTGCCCCTGAGTTCGATCCCCAGTACCCCCAAATAAAGAAAAAAATTACATTTATAAATTTACATTAAATCATGTATATGTAAATGTAATTCTAAGTATACATGATCATATCAGAAAATAAAGTTGGTGTCTTGAAAAGAAAGTTTGCGTTGAGATTTTGTCCTGTGTGGACTTCAGCTGAGATCTTCCCAGACACTAGTAACAAATGCCCTGAATGGTAACAGGTTTTTCTTGGGGCCACAGAGACAGAACAGAATCCTGCCAACAAAGCACTCATAGCCCAAGGACAGAGGAAGCTCATGCTTTCAGTTAGAGCTAGGATATAATGTCTCCTCCCTCTCCAGAAAGATCCTGTGAGAGGAAGCCCAGTTGCTCATCTTGCCATGTGCTGACCCACAGACACACGTCTCTGCAGTGGCCTTGATCATTTGCTGCACTTGCACCATTTATGTGAGTGTCCTTGGGTGTATGTATACATTGCCTTTTTCATGGTTGTAACTCCAGAGCACTTGTAAAGCCATTGCCCAGAAAACACTTGTTAAATGAATCATTCCCTCCCTCCACTCATTCCTGTGAGATTGAACTAGTGGCCATAAGGGATGGTCCTGAGGTTTAGGCTCTCTAGGAAAGTAATTGATGAAAACAATTTAGAAGGAAATGGGAATAGAATAAAAGTCACATCCAAATGTTGGAAAGTGGGATCAAAAATTCCAGCAGTGGAGTAATCTGGATGGTCACTAATACTATAGATAAAGTGCCCTGGTTACCAGGGAAAATGTCATATTTTGGCACTTGAGACTGCTCTGGCAAAATAGCCAGCACCTTGTCTGTTCTCTAAAGCAAAGCCTACCATGAAACAAGTCTACTCATGCACACAAATCCCTGGATTGTTTTTTTTTTTTGTTGCTTCACATTCAGGCCTGAATGGTCAAGCAGGGATTACTAGACAACTAAGGAAATGCTCTCCTGTCAGAGCCCAGAGGAAGAAGTCTCCAAAGGAAGAAAACAGACAGTTGTAGGAAATGCAGAAGCCCTTCAGAAAAACCCTGATTCATGTTCACAGCTGGAATAGAGGTGGTTCTCATCCAGAAAACAAGAGTGTGGAAGGTGCTGTGTTAAAGGAACATTCAAGAGAGAAAAAGTTACTAAAAAATTTAAATGACATGAAACAAACTCAGTAGATGGTTTGGAAGATGCAGTTGAGCCAAGAGCCCAGGAAATAGTAATAGTAGCAAAAAAGTATAACATAAAAGGTTAATTATTATTGATCCAAAAGGTTCAGTATGTTATTTAGGTAACCCAAAGAAGATGTTCTCAAGAAAATAGCTGAAGGAAGTGTGTCTTTGTTGAAAGCATCTGCCTAATGCTAAGCAAAAATAAGGGCAGAAAAAATGTGCAGGTATATCATCCTGAAGTTCCAGAACCTGGCAAGTTCAAGGCAAAAGAATAGGTAAAATTGTGACAAGATCAAGAGATTCCAGAAAACCATACACATGGCCAGCAGCTGTGAGAAGTCACGGGAAATGTAGATCAAAACCAAATGAGGTATGTAGTATAGTCAGATTCGCAGAGAAAGTAGAAGGGAGGTTGCCCAAAGCTGAGAGATGGGGAAGTGGAGGTGTTTTGGTAGGGATAGTTTCAGCATTGCAAGGTGGACTTCTGTCCAAGAGTGTAAACAGAGCACTACTGAACTGTGAACTTAAAAATACTTAAAAGGGAATATTGTGTATATTTTAATATGATTTTTAAAAATTCACAGGGGTTCAACAATAGGTTGTTCTCTCTCACAAGGGGTGCCCCCAACCCAGACAGAGCAGAGTGGAAGGCTCTAGAATTGGGATTTTAGAGGGCCATATTTTAAACTCAGTAGGGGAAAGAATATAAAATCAAAAACATCTTGGGGGGGGGGCAGAGACAATTAGGAACTCTAAACCAGCTCCACAAACTAAAAAGTGGTCACAGTGTATTGCATAGCTCCGCAGCCAACATTTATATATTCTTATAAAGCAAATGCCGTTTATTGATTTAATTGAAAGTAGTGACGAGGGTGATGGAGGAGCCAAATCCATGGCCATATTACAGGAACTAAGCTGTTACCCTCTCAAATTGGTACCTTAAGAAATCACAAGCTGTGCATACCATGTAGAGATGGGAGAGAGCCGAGCCTCCCCACACATTTTGGAGTGGATTAGTAAGTGAAAACAAAATAATGGGGATGGTGTGCTCCCACTTGTGGTGGTGGTGGTTTTAAGATAGGTGTGTAGCCATAGAGAGAGAGCATTTTCTTTTGATGTGTGTTAACTTGTTTAATTGCTCTGGGACAAGCTGATGCCTGGGCATGTGACAGAGATGTAGGGTATTGGTGCAGCAGGCCTGAGGTACAGTGTGTTGTAGTCGGTAGGGACCATACTATTGGGAAGACCACCAGAGACAAATCTGGGGTGGGTTAGCAGCAAGAGGCTTGGAGCACTATGTCTGTATTGAATAGGTCATGGGAAAGTGACTGTAGATTATGCCAGAGTTGTAGGGTTATTGAGGGGCTGCCTGTGCCAGGGCCCAGGTCTGGAACCATCGCCAGTGACCTCATATCCACATGCTGGTCAGTGTCCCTCAAGTACCCTCTACTAAGAAAACTCCACTTTGTGCTCACTGAAAGGGCAATGCTTCAAGCAGCTCTGTTAGCTATCGCAGCCAGGTGTTGAAGGGTGAATTTGGAGCTGACAGCAATCTGTTGGCCACTGACACCATCCTACGCCAGCCAATTCCTTTCAGCTTTGCAGCCTAGCTCCTAGGCTGCTGTGACTTCTTCCAGGTGTGTTCCTCTATGCTGCATACCCATGTATCTTTACAATAACTTACCATGCCATATGAGACCTGTTTAAGAAAACAGTTGGTTTATCAAACAAGCACGTAATTATAGTATGCTGAGAATCACTTCCAGAGATTTTGGTATGTTGAGCCAGGGTGGAACCTAGGAATCCACTGATTATGATGATGGTGATCCCAGAGGCAACACTTTGAGAAACATTGGTGTGGGGCTACAGGGAAGAGACTCCATGTTGTACCCACATTCCCAATACAATGTTTGGTGGTAGTTTGGTGCCCAGTAAATGTGGACTGAATGAAAGAGACAACTAAGCCAGTAAAAAGATAAGACAGCTTGTTGTAGTAGAAAAGTACACCTCGCAATACAGAATAAATGTCCATTTCTGATGATCTCTGTAAGTGGCCTCCTTTTACCCATATGTGCCTGGCTTAAACTTTCTGCAGTTAATGCTTTTTCCACTTTTTAATTTTAAAATAGCCATTATACTAATACCACTTCTTTTTCTTTTTGACAGGGAGAAAGAACAAGAAACACAAGAAGAGGAGCGTTTGATGGAAGAAAAGAAAAAGAAAAAGCAGGAAGAAAAGAAAAAGAAGGAAGGTGCTCAGAAAAAGGTTTGGCCAGAGTTACTAACTTCATTGTCTCTGTGATCATTGTGTCTCGTTCGCATTGTCATAGCCATTCTAGTGCCAAGTTTCATCCTACTACTACTTTAAGTCAATCTGCTAAATCTGTAACCAGCAAGTAGTAGATATCCTGCTAGTGGAATACACACAGAGTGACAGCTGCACAAGTCTCTTTAAAAAAAAATCAGAGCTGTGTTTCCAAAAGTTTGATTTTAGTTGTTTGTGATAAAGAGAACTGTCCAGAACAGCCATCTCTAGGCAATGAGGAAAGGGCCATGAAACTTAATCTTATTAGAAAAGCTAGAAATACTTTTTGCAGTTTTGGAATATGTTCTTTTATAAATCCTAAATATTAGTAAATATTTAATAAATACTAAAAATCAAAAATTCTGCTGTAAACATTAAAGTTGTACTTGAATTTCATGGCATTTAAAATACAAAGTATACCATTTGTCTTCATTCTTGCCCATGTATCTTATAGTTTAAAACCATATGCCTTTTAGACTGTTTTAAAATATAGAGTTCAAGGAGCTTTCCATATAGTTTTTTGGGGGTTTGTTTTTGGGTTTTTTTTTTTTGCCTTTAGGTTAATATTGGGATGTAATCAATGTAGACAAATACATATTTTTTTCCCTGTAATGAATTATAATAAATTAACTGGACAAAAACTTGCTTTTAAAATTTCCAATACTAAAATTCTGTTGATAAACTTTTATATATGCACACATTCTACACACTATTGTTCCTAAAGAGTTTCTGGTTTGTTTTTTTTTTTTTTCCAGGCTGCTGATCAAAAAACCAAAGGTAAGTTTGTTTATATTGAGGGGGAGGGGCTTTTTATGGTGGTACTAAACTTTTTATGATGAGGGTGATTTTTAAAAATTTTTAATTGATGTCTAAAAAACAAAGGATATAAGCCTGTCTGTGATTCTACTTTTTTATTATTCATTGTGAAATTCTTCATTTATCACTGGTTTTACATCTGCATCTCATTGGCATTTGATTAATCTAAAAATGCCTTAAGAATGTTACATTAGCTTTCTACACAATGCTTTTTAAATTTATTTTGGTTTATTTGCACCAAATAAGGATCAAACTGATTGAGTTGACTGAGTTGAAATAAGAACAACCAAAGATATCTGAATTTTTAAAAAAGCTTCCAGTTCCTCATTGCCAGCTATTCTTTGTAGGTGTAACCTTTTTGTATTTTGTCTTTCTTACTGATACAGAAGAGGTTTCTTTTGTGTCCTCTTAAGTCCTGAGCTTGCTTGCTTGCTGTTGTCTTAAGGGATGTTGGAAACACACACAGTTCTCAGCGAAGCTCCAGCATCCCTGGGGTTGTGTTGGAAATTTAGAATGAACACAAGCAAGCCACACTTTCAGCCTCTTCATTTCATGCTTGATGTGTTTAGGTGATTTCCTGTGGTTAAGGGCATACACTTGGGTCATATACACCAGCTCTGTTTCATTTTGGGCAAGTGACTTTCCTTCTTTAAATCTCGGGTATCTCATATTTAAAATTCGAAAGGTAATGAATTGCCTCATGAAGCTGTTGTAATGACAAAATGGAATCATGCAAGAAAATAGCTCAATGCCTCATGTATAGTTGGTGCTCAGTAAAGGATGTCTCTAATTGTTGTCATTCTTAAGTTCTTATTTTCTGTTGGACCATCACATGTACACAGTTGTATGTACAGACACATGCACTGAGATATTCTTATGAGCATGCTCGCTCAAGCTGCTGTCACTACCAATCCACTCTACTTCAGTTTGGCATTTTATTGTTTTCAAAGAAAAGGTTATGTATGTTATCTCATTGAACTTTATAATTGAGCAGGACAGGAATTCATTTACAGATGATGCTCCTGGTGAGTTAAGTGGCTTGTTCTTGATTGACAGTTGTAAAGATAGGACTGAGGGAGCCCAGGGCATCTGACCCTGGTGCACTCAGCCTCTGTGCCTTAAAATAGAGTCGTATTAAAAGATGAATTTAACATAAAATGAATACTAAAAGGCAGCAAAGTAAAAAAGACATTTTTCTTTCTTCTACTCTTAGAAGCACTGTGAATTTCAGAAGGGCTCAAAAGGGTTGGTACTTTAGTTGTATTTGAACTTATGATCTGAAATAAGAAACAATGGTTTCATTTTAATAATTGTCACTTAAAATACAGAATTATTTTTCTGAATCATTCATTTGCTTTTTTTAACATTGAGAAATTTTTACATTCTGCTTAAATCCTAGCTGTATTCTGTTTTCACTGTCATTGGAATTGTTTCTCCTCAGATAGTAACAGATTGCTTATTTATGTATAGTAATCGTGAATTACAGTTGGCCTGCCACTTTACACAGAGTTAATATTTTCTATTGCTGTGCTGATGAGTATTTTCATTGCTGACTCCACATTCTACTGGGGTTTTTATTTTCTCTAAAATACTGTTCCTTTGGTATAGATTATCAGTAACTACTAACTAGCTTTAGAATGGTTCATAGTAATTATTATTCACATCCTGCTAAATTAAAAAAATGCTTTTTGGCTGTAAAGAATTTTAACAGTGCTACTACTAGGTAATTCACTAAAGAGTATTAGCAGTATTAGGTTCAAATTTACTTTGATTCTCCATTATTACCAGGCCAAATCAAAATTGGCTGCTACAAGTTGAAGGTTCTGACTTTCTGACTGGACCCTAATGTCAGATAACGCAGATTTGGCTCAACTGAACCAGTGAGGTTGTTTTCTTGTTTGTTTTATTGTTGTTGTAGATGAACACAATGCCTTTATTTTATTTGTGGTTTTTTTTTAAGAGAGAGAGAATTTTTTAATATTTATTGTTTAGTTTTCGGCAGACACATCTTTATTTGTATGTGGTGCTGAGGATTGAACCCAGCGCCGCGCGCATGCCAGGTGAGCGCGCTACCACTTGAGCCACATCCCCAGCCCTTATTTGTGTACTTTTATGTGGTGCTAAAGATCGAACCCAATGCCTCACATGTGCTAGGCAAGCGCTCATGTACCACTGAGCCACAACCTCACAATCCTGTGAGGTTGTTGTAGTAGCATCTCTGCTCAAACATGAGGTTGATCTGCTTCAAGCCAGCATTCCTGTCTGTGTCCCCTGTTGTAGCCTATAGTCCATAGGGCAAGGGCTCCATTTGCCTGCTCCTTCTTTCCTCCCAGCACCCTCACTCAGAAACTCCTTTCATGCTAGATGCTGTAGTGGGCCCTTACATTTAGTATTTTGCATTGTTAGTGCATTCTCTCCAAAGGACAAATGACTCGAAGTTTGCTGTGTGTCCCAGTGACTGCAGAGCAAGTAAATGGTGGCTGATGTCCCCAGAATCTTCTGCCATACAGCCTGCAGGAAAAACACGCAACAAACACTCACCCTGCATTGCCTGTGGCAAGGAGGATGCTCAGAGGCCAAGAGCTGACCAAGGACACAGTCAGCAATTGGCAGAGCTTGAGTTAGTTATTAGGTACACTTTGCTCCAGGGCCAAGGTAGCCTGCCTGAAAGAATCACCAGGAGCAGGGAGACCTTGCTGTATTCCAGGCAACACTCTGAAGTCCAGGGCCCAAGTCATTTGAATGTAGGAAGAGTTTAATATTGAATGAGTTCAGGAATTGAATACTCAAGAGAGAAGCTGTACCTATAAAGGAGAATGTGTAATGTGCCAAATCAGTTTTTTTGGACAAGGTTAAATTGTTTTGGTCTTGATAATTACATCAAACTTCATCAAATCAATTACTGATTTTCTTGTTCTGCAGTATTATACATTGTTCAGGGCTAGGGCTATAGCTCAAATGTTAGAGCGCTTGCCTAGGTTGTGTGAGTGTCTCAAAGAAAACCTTTCAGCTAGTAGCATTAGGAAAGCAGTGACTTTGTTACTTGGCATTCATTGCATTTGACTTAATTTTCTCCATAACTGAAACTTGATCTCTTTTTTTTTTTAATATTTATTTTTTAGGTGTAGATGGACACAACACAATGCCTTTGTTTTTTATGTGGTGCTGAGAATTGAACCCAGGCCCCGCCCATTTGATCTCTTTTAAGTTTTGATTTTTTCAAAATATTTTTTTAGTTGTAGATAGGCACAATGCCTTTTTATATTTTATTTATTTATTTTTTATGTGTGCTGAGGATTGAACCCAGTGCCTCACACATACTCGGCAAATGCTCTACCATTGAGCTACAACTCCAGCCCTTAAATTTTGATTTATTTTAAACATTTTCAGAGAACTTTTTAGAGTGTATTATGTACACACATGTGTCTTCTCCTACCGAATTTTAACTATCTTGGTAGATCAATCTTCAATAGCATATTAAAATTTTTTCACATCTCACTATAACCATTTAACTTGAACTAGGAAGCTTCACTTTGAAGACTAATACTAAAAACATATTTTTTCTGAAAAACATAATCTAATATATAGCATACCCCATCCCACCCCATACATTTGTAAACAAGGTTTTCAGAAAGTCTGCTTTGCAGATTCACAACTAAACAGAAAATTCTCCCTGGCTGTCTTTTCACATCCTGACCTGTGCCTTCTTTGTGGAGGCCATTTTCTTTTAAAGGTTCAGAGCAGCAGAGTCAATGTGTGAAATACCATGCCACCAGTGTTCACACCCTGCATGCTACCCTGCAGCCAGGGGACACACTCACTGTCAGCTCTGGGGACTTTCATTCAGACATTGTGTTCACTGTTGTTCCTCTCCTCTGATTCTCCTCTGATCCTGCAGATCATCACTGAGGTGAATGTCCTACACTCCTGAAAAATCTGAGCATGTTTTATTTTTCTGGAATCCCTTCCCTCCTCCTTTTCCTGCCTCTAGTCTTGTGGTGCTGTTGTAGATAACCTTTCCTTATTTTTCCTCCTGTGATGAAGAACATAAGTAGTGAATTTTTGTTAAAAATAATTTGAGCATTATCTAAAAAGAAATTAAAGTTTACTTGAAATCCCTCTATCCTGAGATATTTACCAGTTAACATTTTGTCAACCATCCTTGAATGCATTTTTCCTTATGAATTCACAAACATAAATATAGGTTTTTATGGACTCTGCCACTTCCCTCCAGTCCATATTCCTCAGGTGCAACCCCTCAAGTACTGCCCTGAGCCATCTGAGAACCTTCCTGTGAGCTGCTCACAAAGAAAATAATCTCTTGTCAATTTTGCATTGGTGCCCAAAGAACAACAGCTGAACACAATCACTGGGTTTGCATTAGTCAGATCCTACCTGCTCTCATAATTGGTGTGAGATCAGATAAAATCCTGCTGTGAAAGGCTATTAACTTGTATGTTACAGCACTGCTGAGGACATACATTTAATTAGTATTCTAATCTTGCTTGAAGGAGTATAATTTAAATTTTGGAATCAGGTATTGAATTTTGGCCATGTTTAGTTTGTAATTGTTAATTTTCAAAAAACCTTTCTGTGCTTTCACCAGGTGCCATGATGCACACCTGTAGTCCTAGTGGCTCAGGAAGCTGAGGCAAGAGGATCACAGATTCAGGGCTATCCTCAGTGACTTAGTGAAGGTCTGAAAATAAAAAGGGCTGGGGATGTAGCTTAGTGGTAAAATGCCCCTGGCTTCCATGCCTAGTACTAAAAAAGAAAAAGAGAAACTTTCTGTGCTTTTGTTAGTGTAAATCACCTAAAATCATATTCTTTCAATAGCCTCACATTGACCGATAAAGTTTTTGGAGTCACAAATTACATGCAGGTTGCTGTACTATTATTAAGACTCATTCTAAAAATACAGAACTTCTTGTACATAAATGAAGAATAGTAAGAATTGAGGT